TGGGGAAAGAGAAAGGTCAGTGGCTTCACCTGGATGCATGTGGAAGGAGACTTGCTTGCTGAACGCTTTTCCCTTGTATTTTAAGGTGCAAGTTTCTAAAGAGGTTCCAGAATCGTCGGTGATTAACTCAGGAGCATCATCAATTTAAATATACTTGGGAGGTATACTTGGTAACTTTATTTCTCGTAAGACAGCCCCCAACCTTTGCTTTTTAAAAGGCTTGAGCAGTTTCCGTGACAAGCCACCTCTCTTTCTGCTGTGAATTTTCATCTTAGGTTGTCACTTAGAGGTATGATCAATTTAGACGTTGCAATTTGCTCTGAGAGCAAAGTCTGAGCGCAGGACAAGGCTGTCTGTCATGCCTCTCTTTCCTGAGTGAGAGGCCCTGGAATCAGATGAGAAAACAGCTTTGTTTTCACTGAGGAGAGTACTTGCTGTGAAGGAGACACACTGTCCTTACTGCAGCTGAGTTTATGGTTTATGGTTGGATTCTCCACTCATTGATGAGAATTAAGAGACTGGAATGTTATCCTAAATAAGCCACATTGCATCTGAATGGAATTTTTTGATGACAGTGGGCTGGTCTTAGAATGCTTCCGCTGGAAAAGAAGTTGGGCTGAGTACCATGAGAGCTGTTTCCTGGAACCCATCTGTCTAACGCATCCTTTCCCTGAGGAGTTTCCACGCCCTGAATGCAACCCCTTGCAGAATACTTCCTATGTAAGTCGGAGGCATAAGGGGTGAGGGGAAACGGTGCCCCCAGTGAATGGCTTAGGAAAGATATGGACCTGCCAGTTGCCTGGAATATGGTATTTGGGTCGCACTAGGTTGCTTTGCCAAAGAGCTGTTTCTCTTCTTATCGGGAAGACTTGACCTGGGAGTCAGGGTCTGAAAGAATTGCAGCTTTCACCCTTGGTTACTCTGGTTAGAAGTCAGCGAGGGGAGGGTGTAGCTCACAGGAAGATTGGGTTCAATCCCCAGTACCTCCATGTTAAAAATGTTTTTTTAGTTAAAGAAAAAAAACAAAAGAAAGCAAGCTCCTGAGGTTTTGATGGGAGGCGTGTGCTTGCAGTGGGAGAAGCCCTGTCTCCAGTACCCCAGGGTAATCAGGGTGGCTGTACTCCTTGGAAATCCTTCTAGAAGTCCCATAAAAATCACTGTCAAGCCTCCTCTGGATTCTGTTTTCATCACCCAAATATTTCTTTCCTCGCCTTCCCTCAAAAATTGAGACTTGCCACAGATTGTTTAACAATCATCAGTGTTTCCTTCCCTCAAAATGCATAGAGAACTAAACACCCAAGGCACATAAAAACCAGGATAAACCCCAGAGCAGTTCAGTCCCTGGCAGTCTCCACCTTAGGCATATGACCTGCAGTGGGTTTGGTGTCAGCAGGATGGGTTTAAATACTCCTGTTTGCTGACTGTGGGATCCTGGGAGATTCCCTTACATCTCCAGGCTTCAGTTTCTCATCTATAAAATAGGTATAATACCAACATCATACTGTTATTACAAGAACTACCAGGGTGGAAGATGATGCCTGTAAAACTACTTTGTAAAGGTGTCATACAAATGATTGTTCCCAATCGAGGGATATTTCTATCTAAACCTGCAAGCTTCCAGAGAAGGACTTTGGTTTCCTTCACATACTTATTTAACTGAATGTATAGTGACTAGGACTCGATAAATACTAAAAGTTCCCCTAATTTTTAATAATTGTTAAATGTTGTGATTCTCTGTACCCCCCCCCCAAAAAAGAAAAACAATCACTTTTAAGATTTTCTAAACAATCACATTTCTCAAAGACAAGCCCATCAGGGACTTGGAATAATTTCCCCATTTATGATTCACCCAAACTGAGTAAAAGGGTGTTTACTTTGGAGGAAAGACACTCACACATGAAAGCATCTTTTTATTACTGGTAACTCCCAAGTCGTTTGTCAGACTTTGATTGTATGTCGTTATGCTTCAGGAATTTAGGACTCCAATCTGTACTCATGCAATACACCGAGCTTACACAATTCTAATGTCTTTGAGGGTTTTTTTTTTAAATTATTACTAAAAACCACCAATGACAAAATTGGGACTCCTCTCTACTCTCTCTCCCATCCACAGGTTAGCAGTTTGGGGAAGTCCCCCAGAATTTTCTTCTATACATGTGCTACCAGATATATTCTATTCTTACAAATAATAATCCATATACACTGATATTTCTTGATTTACCACCAACTTAAGACATCATCTTGTCCATCAACACATGAATGGATAAAGAAGATGTGGTATACACACACACTGGAATACTATTCAGCCACAAAAAAGAATGAAACTTTGCCCTTTGCAGTAACATGGGTGGACTTGGAGGGCATTATGCTAAGTGAAATAAGTTAGACCCGAGAAAGACAAAAACTGTATGATGCCACTTATAAGTGGAATCTAAAAAACACAACAAACCAATGAATATAACAAAAAAGCAGCAGACTCACAGATATAAAGAACTAACTAGTGGTTACCAGTGTGTGTGGGGGAAGGGCAGATCGGGGTGGGGAGTAGGAGGTACAAACTATGGGGTATAACACAGGCCACAGGGATGTGTTGTTGCACACCACAGGGAATGTAGCCAATATTTTGTAATAACTGTACATCGAAAGTAACCTTAGAAATTGTATGAAAAATTAAAGTTCTTAACAAAAGACTTCATCTATTGACTCCCTGTTGTGAAAGATGAGTTCAGTAGCCAGCACATCCCTCCTCCTGCCTCCAGTTTTGTAATCATTATTTTCAGTTCTATTTGTACATGATTTATTTTTTGAACTTGTCCTTGCTCTCCATCAGCCTGGAACGTGTGATCCCCTCCACGGTAGATGAAGCTATTGGTACCTGACCTTCTACCCCACCTCTCTACACTACCCCCTGCATCTTTTGTCAGCTGAACTTTGACAGTGTCAAGGACAAGAACATTCACAATCCTTTCTGCATGCAGAGCTGACTTCCCTGTTTCTTCTGGTGGTTTCATGAGTTGATTGTTTCAGAATCAAGATCAAAATCTCACCACATTTTTTTTGCTTCACCTTTGGCCACGAGTGTCTTACACAGTGTTCCCCTCTGTTGTTTTTAATTGCTTTACTTTCTTCCTATTGATGAGAAAGAAAAAGACTTGGGTTTTCTTCAACGTGTCATTAACATCACCTGGCTTCTTAGTCATTCTGTCTATTATGTGGATCTATTTCATTCCTCTCACTGAAGATATTCCACCTGGAGTTCTCTGCCTTTCTCTTCTAATATGGAACAACTTTCCAACTTCACTCCACAACTCCTCTTACCCTGGGAATCCTTTTAATTGGAACTCTGGGCTGGTTTCACCATTTCTTGTACCTTATGTCTTTCTCTTTGTTTGCGAGGGGTAGGGAGTAGAGTGTTTTCATCCTTTTTCTGATAGGAGTACATCCTCAAATCACTTTCTTAGAAAGTATTTGAAAGGTAATCCTTCTGGGTTTCTATCTGAAAATATGATTATGCCTCATATGGTTCTAGAATTCTCAATTCTAGAAGGAATCGATGTCTCGATGGAAGACAGTGATGCAGCACAAGGCTATGATAAAAGTGGTTAAGATGGTAAACTACATATTATGTGTATTTTGCCACAACGAAAATTTGAAAGCATTGTCCCATGACCTTCTAGCATTGTGTCCCCAGAGAGAAACATCATGTTAGTTTGATTCTCATTCTTCTGTTCGGTAACTTTTTCCCTCTGGAAATTTTTAGGACCTTCTGTTTAATCTTGGTGTTCTGAAATTTTACAAAAGCATGGAACGTAGGCATTGATCTTTTTCTTATTTTTTCTGCTTGACATCCAGTGAGCCCTTCAGCCTAGAGATTCCTCCAGTTCTGGTAAGTTTTCTTTCATGATTTCTTTGGTAATGTCTTTCCCTGTGCTTTCTCGTTTGTCTTTTTTTGGAACTCCAGGTACTCGGGTGATGGGCCTCCTGAATTCATCCTCTTTATTTTTCTCCCAACTTTTTCATCTCTTTGTAACGTTCTGGCCTGTATTCTGAAAGATTTCTTTACCTTTATCGTCAGACCCTTCTCTTGAATTTTTTTCCCCTGGCAATCATTTAATTTCTCAGGTTGTTTCTGTTTCATAGCATCTTCTTGTTTTATGGCTACTGCATCTATCTTCTCAAATCTATTGAGAATATAGAGATTTAATTGCCCCTACCTTCTCTGAATTCTGTGTCTTCTGGGGACGGCTGTTGTTTCATGCACCTTGGCCTTTCTCTTTCATCATGCTGGTTTCTTCTCGTGCCTGATCATGCAAAATTAAGAGTGGGGGCCAAGGTTAATTTTTCTGAACAATTGAGTCAGATTTCATGTATATATATGTGTTGCCTACCATTAGGATTCTTCCACAACTAGATGAGCTGACTGGGTGCGATAAAAAGTTCTCTTGACCAGCAGGTAAAAAGAAAGTCAATCTGATTCTTAATCTTTTGTATGCAACTTGTTTTTACTCTCTGGACATTTGTAGGATCCTCTCTTTCACCAGAGTTTTAAAATTTCACCATAATGTGCTTTGGCATAGGCTAATTTCCATCCATTTTTCTGGACCCCTCACTGGATCCTTTTAGTTTGGAAATGTTTTCTTCTCCTTTGGGAAATACTCTTAAATTATTTTCTTTGATCATTTTCTTTCCTCTGTTTTTTTCATTCTTTACTTCTGGAATACCTCTATTCAGATTTTGGACCTCTTGGATTCCAAGATTTATATAATCTTTTCTATTTTTTTATCTTCATCATTTTGGTCCACTTTATGGGAGATTTCCTCAACTTCATCTTCCAACCCTACTGTTGAGTTGTTTTCATTTCTACTATGTATTTTTAATTTCTAAGAGTGCTTTTGGTTCTTGGGCTTTTTTTTATTATTAAAGTATAGTCGATTTATGTACAGCATGGTAATTCAGTTATACAGATTTTCCATATTCTTTTTCACTATAGCTTACTACAAAAAAAAATGAAATGCTTCACAGATTTCCCTGTCATCCTCACACAGAGGCCATGCTAGTCTTCTCTGTATCGTTCCAACTTTAGTATATATGCTGCCGAAGCGAGTATCTGGGGTTTTTTTTGAAGTAGCATCCTATTTTTGCTTCTTGGAAGCAGTATCTTGATCTCCTGAGTATATTAATGATACTAGGATTGGTTAATTTTTTCTTTGCATGGCTTTTCTTCCAAATCTCCCACAAGTGCCATTTGTTTTTGCCTCTATTATGTCAGAGGTCTTCCTCAAATGTCCAGTGATTCTTGGCAGCCTCTGGCCTGTTCATTTAAGAGTGAGGTACTGAAAAGCTAATCAGAAGCTCTGAGATCCTGGGATAATCTGACAGCGTTGTTTCCCTGTGGAGTTCACAATGTTAGCATCTTTAGGTCTTTCCTCTTGGGGTGGTCGGATTTCCCAGAGGAGAATCTTCTAGTCTCCCACCTGGAGGGTACACACCTGGCTGGCAGCATTCTATTTACCCAGTGGGGTGTGGGGGTGAGGGGAGGGGGCTTACCATTCCCCGTGTAAGTTACTTAATCCCCAGGTACTCAGCGTGATAAATCTGCTTTTAACCTTGCCCAGTGTATCTTAATACAGAGATCTTTTTGACCCAATGGAAAAAACTTCCAGTTTACTGCCAGGGTGGGGAAGGGGCAGGGGATTAACCTCCTGGAGTAAGAGGATATGATGGCTTCTTTTCTCTTAACTTGTTATTGTTCTCAAGTCTTTTTATTTTTAACTTTTAAATTTAAAAAATGGGGGGTAGGTAATTAGGTTTATTTATTTTCAATTTTTTTTTAAGTGGAGGCACTGGGGATTGAATGTAGGACCTTGTGCATGCTAAGCACGCACCCTACCACTGAGCTATACTCTCTCCTCCTTAACTTTTAACTATGGAGAGCTTCAAATGTCCACATTGGGGGAAAAAAACAGAACAGTACAATAACTACCTGTACCATGGATGGACCTATCACTAGCCCTACCAGCCATCATCAGAGTAATTTGTTTCAAAGTAATATCTTCAAAAAGATAACAGAAGTGGAAGACAAAGATTTTGTGTCTGGTCATTCAAAACATCATTGCATCTGCCATCATTCAGTACTTATCTCAAAAAATGACACTTAAAACTAACATAAATTTAATATTAAACCTAAAAAATTAATAATTCCTCAATATCAAACTTCAGTTCAGTGTTCAAGTTTCCAATTGTGTCAAATGTCAGATGTGTTTTGTTTATTTCTACACTTGCTGTAATCAGAATACAAGTAAGTACACACATTCTGGATGGTCAGTGTGTCTTTTAAGTCTCTTAACTTGTAGTTTCCCCCTGTGTACGACTCTGAATTTGGAATTCATTAGATAAAGAAACTGAGTTGTTTGTCCTGCAGTTTCTCAGCCTGGATTCGCTGACTGCCTGTCTGCAGTGCAGGGTGACGTTTTGCCCTGACGTCTGGACATCCTGTAAATTGGTAGTTGGACCTAGATGTTTAACTCCTTCCAATGCTCGCTCTCCAGGCTTACTGCTGCTTTCTTCTATCTCCTCCATTCTGCCGCTGAGTCCATTCAGTAAAGCTTTCGTCCGTAATTGCATTTTTCATTTCTAAAATTTCCATTTGGTTCTTCTTTCTCTCTCCCGGGTTCTTCGCTGAGACTTCACTGGCTCCAGGCTGTTATCACGATGAGGTCTTTTAGAACGCAAACACATGGTAGGGTGGCAGCGGGTGGTAGGCAGCCTCCAAGGTGACTCCCAGCGATCCCTGTCTCCTGGTCTCCACACACCTGTGCAGCCCCTCCCACATTCTACTAGGGTCAGTCTGTACAACCCACAGCACATGGCAGGGTGACGGCACATCCCTTCTGAGATGAGGTGATCAAGGGCAGTGGCTTCTGTCCTGGGCACCCTCTCTACCATGCACACACCCTCAGATCACTTGCTCTGGAGGAAGCAAGCTGCACTGTGTCAGGTTGGACTTGAGGCGCTGCCTTTTCTTTTACTTAAAAATGCAGGACCAATGAGATAACCTCATGAGCTACAGTTTCTTTATCTGGAAATTGATGAGCATTTTTGTCCCACCTACCTCTCAGGGTTGTTATGAGTCTCACATAAAATAAAACATAAAAACATACAACTATTCGTTTATGTAATCCCACACCCTTATCTTACAGATGAAAACCTGAAGCCCAAAGGAATGAAAAGAATTGACAGATAAGGCATGAAAGAACAGAGGATTTAGAAAATGAGCCCAGACTGGAATCCAGAGCCAAGACTTTAAGCCCAGTTCTTTTCCCTGCTGTGCCTCAAGGATCGTGGGCTAGTATCATCAGACAGACACTGTTCCAGAGAAACAGTAGATAAATTATGGTGTGTACACAGTTAACCAAGAGAATGACATTTCTTCTATGATACATAACAAATATGGGATAAATGCAAGAGGGTCAGAGTTTTTCCAGTTCAGCTTTTACATCATAAAATTGACAGAGCCAGCTACTCCTCATTTCTATTGCTCTGCCAGTTACCCCAACACGCCGAGCCCCAGCACGTGGGCCCCCAGCCAGAGGGTGACTAACACCATTTCTTTGCACCCAAACCATGTATAATAGGCAAGTAGCTCCTTCTTTGAAAACTTTGCTGGACAAGTTGGTATCAGTACCTTTAAACCACAAATACTCCTTTGTTATGCAATTTCAGTAAAGAATATTTGGAGAGAAAAGAAGCTAGCAATTTGAAGACAGAAAAGAGCTAGTTTGAGCCAGTGAGGTCAGACCGTAAGGGTAACCATGACCTCAACAGGGTTTCAAACTTTTTTAAATTAAGATGTTTTTTCTCAAAGAAGTATTTTTGCAAACCACCTCCCCAATTTCTGCTTTCTCCTCACCCCTCACTCTGCTGATAAGGGAAACAGTGATGGGGAAAAATTTGATATTTTAAAAAGTTGAAAAAGAATCTGATCCCAATCAAGTTAAAAAAATTAAAATGCACATTGACTCAAACTGGAAGGAAAACACAAATATGAAAATAGTTGTGCTGGAGTGGTAGGATCACTTTTTTGCCCATTCTTAGTTTTGTTTGTAATTTTTCAAAATATGTTTATATATATATATAATATATAAGCATTACATATATACTTGTAATGTATTTTATATATAATTTATAGTTTTTGCATTATATTTTTAACATAAAAATTCTGGTTTGGTACAATGCCTATCTTGTCAGACTGGGATTAAATAGGTTTTGCGGATTGAAATCCTAACAAGTTACAGTTCAGTGTTTCACTCTTCATGTGGGTCAGTTAAGATACTCTCAAGTTGTGAGCAACAGAAACAATCTCTGGCTACTTGAACAAAAAAAGAGAATCCATGGGAGAAACACAAGAGAGTGTAATGGGCCAAAGGGCAGCCTTCAAGAAGCAGGAAGCCATTGAGAAGACCCGCTGCCCTGCGTAAGCAAACACTTGCCAATTGTTTCCTCTGGGCCCAATCCCTGGGTGTCAGACTCAAAGTTCTCAGAGAGTGAGATTCCTCTTGGGCAAAGATGTGCCCAGCTAGGATATTCTGAGCTGATGAACAAAAGAGGGAGTTAAAAGGAATCTCCTAGGTCCCCTCCCTTCCCTGGTGGGAGAGAACACTTTGGGGATCCCGTCCCACCAACACAGCCCTCAGCCGCGGGCAGAGTGTCACCACAGATGGAGATGAGGATGCTGACTGAAAGGCCCAGCGTTCACTCAATCATAGGTGTGTTCTCACCACCAAATGAGAAGCGTGTTCCAGCCGTATTTTGGGTGGACACCCACTCCTTCCTCCTTCCCTATCAGGGACCAGCAAAGACATGCTCTGGGCATGACATTTTGGTGGGATGCTTTAGAGCAAAATAGAACTTCATCTCATCTCTACACTCATATTATACAAAGCAAGTCTAACCCTCCTTTACATACACATCCCACTCCCATTACCGCATCACCTTGTACTGTATTTCTAGGTCCTTCCCATCCCAGTCTCTCTCCTTTCAACTACTGCCCGCACAGCCTTCCTTGAAGGATGTTCTGTATTAACAGGCATTACATGAAAAAGAGAAGGGAAGGGGGACCACAGTCAAGCAAATCTAAGAGACACCGGTTAAACCAAGTCTGCACGGCAGAGTTCGTCTAGGCACCTGTAGACCACTCCACTCTATTTTGCAGATCCTCCCTGAAGCCCTTAAAGGGCAACCATGAAACCACATGTTCTTAGGAGCTGGATTCTATGTGGCTTTAAGGTGTAAGTGGTTTAACTGCATTTTTAATCGATGGAGGTGAAAGGGTGGGAAATTTTATTAACATTCATTTTAAAAAGCTTTACACCTGTGGTACACTGAGAGAAAGGGGTTCTTAGAGAAGTGCCTCCTAGGGTTTGGTCCCTGGTTTGGAGGTTTCAGAGCTTTGGTGTGTTTTTGTTAAGTGCTGTAAGAATTCATGATCTTGGTCCAGGGCCGGTAATGTTGTGCCAGTTTCTTCTTCCTTTGGGGGAGAAGAGACACGGTTATACCTCCAGTCTCCTGGCACATTAGTATTGCACAGTTGACTTCTTAACATCTTCCATGGATTAGAATTTGCTCTAAGTCAGCCTGAGGCTCCCCAGAGCAGAGACTGAAGGAGAGAAACATTGAACTGTTTCTCAGGCTGGACCTTAAATGCATTTTGTGTGCGTAGTGAAACATACATACCATAAAAGTTACCATCTTTCACCATTAACTGAACTATTCAGTGGCATTAAGGACACTCACATTGCTTCGCAAGCCCCCACCATGCATCTCCAGAACATTTTCATCTTTTCAAACCAAAATCTGTACCCATTAAACAATAGCTCTCCACTCCCCTCTTGCTCCCAGCCCCTGGCAACCACCATTCCACTTGCCATCTCTGTGAGGTCCCTCATGTAAGTGGAATCACACAGTATTGGTTCATTTGTGTCTGGCTTACTTTTAAAAGCAGTTTTGATACATGGAACATTAGAGTGAGTAAGAAGACAGAGGGTACAGCTATCACTTCTGGATCAGAAGTCGTGGACTTGCAGCCCTTGGAGGAGCCCTAGGGATCTGACTTCACTTAAAGGGACGAGTTTCCTAATTACAAAGTTTTCTTAGGAATCTTTAACTCAGAAGATGCTAATCACTGTCTTGGGTCTTCTCTGCTTTGAGAGCATCCTCTCAGTCCTGTACTGAGACTAGCTGCCTTCGTTAGGAAGAGCCACCAACCTGGTCGTATTTATTGTATGGATTTTGGTTATGATTCAAGCTGGACACCCAACAGAGTAAACCCCTAATTGTCCCCAAAATTAAAAACAGAACTACCATACAATTCAGCAATTCCACGCCTGGTTATTTATCCAAAGAAAATGAACACACTAATTCAGAAAGACACATGCACACCTATGTTCATTGCAGCACTATTTACAATAGCCAACATGGAAGCAACCTAAGTGCCCATCGATTGATGAATGGATAAAGAAAATGTGATATATAAACAATGGAACATTACTCAGCCATAAAAAGAATGAAATCATGCCATTTGTGACACCATGGATGGACCTAGTGTGTATTGGGCCAAGTGAAGTCAGACAGAGAAAGACAAATACTGTGTGATTTCACTTACATGTGGAATCTAAAAAACAAAACAAATGAACAAACCCAACAGAAATAGAGACACAGGTACAGAGAACAAATAGGTGGTTGCTGGGGGCTGGTGGGTGGAGATGAGAGAAATAGGTGAGGGAGATTAATACCAACTTGCAGTTAAAAAATAAATGTGTCATGGGTATGAAATGTACAGTGTGGGGACTAGTCAATAACTATGTAATATCTTTGTCTGGTAACCACACTTGCCTCGATCATTTTGACATGTGTAGAAATACCAAATTACTATACTGTGCATCAAGAACTAACAGTGTTATAAGTTAATTATACTTTTAAAATAAACTCTGAGAGAAAGACATCAGATTTACGGCTACGAGAGGTGAGAGGGTAGAGGGTGGGGGAACTGGATGAAGGTATTCAAAAAGGTACAAACTTCTAGTTATAAGATAAATAGGTACTAGGGATGTAACAGAAATGATTAATATAATTAACACTGCTGTATCTTATCTATAAAAGTTTTTAAGAGAGTAAATCCTAAGAGTTCTTTTGTCAGAAGAAAAAGAATTTTTTTACTGTATTTCTTTTACTTTGTGTCTGTGAGATGATGGGTGAGATGCTAACCTAACTGTAGTAATCACTTCATGATGCATGTAAGTCAAATTATTATGCTGTATGCCTTAAACTTACGCAGTGCTGTATGTCAATTATAGCTCAATAAAACTGAAAGAAGGAAAAACCACACTGGGACACTACTTCATACCCATTTTAAGTGGCTGTGATTTAAAATAAACCCCAGAAAACAAGCATGGGCAAGGATGTTGAGAAATGGGAACCTTTGTGTGTTGCTAGTGGCAATGTAAAATAGTGCACCCACTCTGGGGAACAGGATGGAGGTTCCTCAAAAATTAAAAACAGATTTACTGTATGATCTGACAATTCCAACTTGGGGTATACCCAAAAAAATTAAAAGCAGGAATTCTAACATTTCTATTCCCATATTCATAGCAGTGTTATTCACAATACCCAAAAGGAGAACCCAAGTGTCCACTGATGGATGAATAAACAAAATGTAGTATATCCATACAACAAAGTATTACTTAGGCTTAAAAAGGATGGACAAGTTGACACGTGCTACAACACAGATGAACCCTGAGGACATGATGCTGAGTGAAATAAGCCAGTCACAAAAAGGACAAATACCATGATTCCACTTCTGAGGTACTTAATATTCCAATTCACAGAGAAGGAGGGTGAAATGGTGGTTACCAGGGCCTGGGGGGTGGTAGTGGGATGGGACGGTTATTGTTTAATGGGGATAGAGTTTCGGTTTGGAAAGATGAAAAAGTTCTGGAGATGGACGGCGGTGATGGTTGTATGACTGTGTGAATGTACTTCATGCCAGAGAACTGTATACTTAACAATGGTTTAAATGGTAAGTTTTATGTTATATATGTTTTACTACCATAAAAAGTGTTTCGGAAGTATCTAATGCTATCTGACCATTATCCCCTGCTCCTGCAGGAAACTCGGAGCCTTTTGTAGACTTCATCCCCAAACACCATATTCTGGAAAGAGACAGAAGGAAGTAGCAAAGCGGTTTTTCAAAAGCTGGGTCTGCCTTCGTTGTTTGTATTTCTCAGTAAAAAGTCACTTTAGCATCAATGTCCTTCCCTCCCGCTCCCCCAAAGGAGCCAAGTAAGGAAAAAAACAAAAACAAGCGTGAAATTCTACACCAGAGGCAGCAGGACAAGATTCTGTGGGACTAGAGCAGTTTCCCAGAGTCCGGATAACATGGAGGGGGAGTAACTTGGGGCTAAGTCACGAGAGAAGCCCGCCTGTCCGTCACCCACCTCATGGGAACAGCTCAGGTACCTGCCAGGTGATCACCTGCAGAGGTGGTTCACCAGGAGGGCTGGGCGGTCTCTGATGCTCTGGCCACTTACCTCACAGAAGTGTCTCTCAATAATGTTTGAAGCAGTCAGGGCCACCTGATAGTTCTCGTGGAGTTGCAAAGCCTCAATTCTGTCAACCCCACCAAGTCCTTCTATCAGAAGACACATGTGTTCCTTCTGAGAAATCTTCTCTGCTGCCTGTGGGCCAGATAAGATGGAGACTCTGGGCCAAAGATCTTAGGAGGTGGGGCTTCACTCCAGTAGAATCAGACCAAGCTACTCATTCCACATTGGGCAACGGCAGTTTTACTTTTTCCAGATTGAGTTAAAATTGCACTATCTTCCTCTCACTCTGGATATTTATCATATAACTATTGAGGTTTATCTTCATTACACAGAATACAGTATCTCCTTTGCTGTATATGCCACCATCCATAAATCTAACACCACCACTATCCAGTAGGTAACCTTCTTCTAATTAGTGGAAATTGCTTCTAATACAGAAGAAATGATCTTCAAGTAATGCTATGTAAATGCAGAAGTTCTTGCCCTGCACTCCCTGGAAAGCCTTGAGAGGTCAAGCAGGAGACCCTTGATAACGGAAGCCACACCATGGCAACTGATGAAGTCCATGGGAACAAATAATGTGACTGGATTTAATCTAACACTGATCATTGGATTTATCATCCAGGGCTATTCACAAACACAACATTTGTACATACAAAACCTCAAGAGTATCTCAAGAGATGCAAAAAAAGCAATGATAAAATTCAACATCCATTCATGATAAAAGCCTCTCACTGAAGTGGGTATATCTCAGTGATATAAGGGAATGTATCTCAACATAATAAAAGCTATTTATGACAAATCTACAGCCAACATAATACTCAATGGTGAATTTTCCACTAAAATCTGGAACAAGACAAACATGCCCAGCCTCACCACTTCCATTCAACATAGTACTGGAAGTCCTAGCCACAGCAATCAGACAAGAAAAAGAAATAAAAGGGATCCAAATTGAAAGGGAATTATATGTAGATGACATGATATATAGAAAACCCTAAAGATTCCATACAAAAACTCCTAGAACTGATAAACAAATTCACCAGGTAGCAGGATCCAACATCAAACATACAGAAACCTGTTGCATTTCTTTATACTAACAATTAAATAGCAGAAAGGGAAAGTCAAAAAAAAACCCAAATCACATCAAAAATAAAATAAAATACTCAGGAATAAACCTGACCAAAGAAGTGAAAAACCTATATGCTGAGAAATATAAAACAGTGTTCAGTAAATAGCATATTTTGGGGAAGTGGAGAGAGATAAAGACAAAACTTTGGCATCCGATGGGACTGTGCTCGCTATTTTGTGAGTGGTAATTTAAAAACCTCCTGTGGGTCAAATGAAATATTGTTTAGGCCATAGTGTTTATCTGATGAGAGTTTGCACTTTTGTCTAAGCCTTGATACTCTCTAGTCCTGTCTGTAGGTCCAAAACGAATTCTTGGCTTTGAGTGAAGAAACTGAGGCAGGAACCAACTTGATAGGTCAGCCTCAAAGAAAACTGAGAAGTCGGGGATGACCCAGGGCAGTAGCAGCCTGGGGAAGGATTGTGGAGTTTGACAGAACAGATGGCGCCAAAGTGACTTCAAAGAACCTCATCCACTCTGATGCCCATTTGAAGCTTTTTCCTTTTCATCTTGATCTTTCTCACTGTCCTGTGTGCCACTATCTGATACAGGGGCTTCACTGGTCCATTAGAAGTGATTCACCCAAACTCTCCCCAGAAAAACAATCCCAAGTATTTAATTCAAATGAATCAGATGAAGTTAAATTTCTTTAGCCCACAAGTGTGCTTTCACAAGTTTTTTATGTCCAGTTTTGCCTACTGGCTGCTAAGTCTCTACTCTTTATCTGTGATTCACTCGAAGTCTTAGTGTCTAAATGGGCTGTTTCTAATCCGTTCTTGACTCAGGTCAATTCTGAGACAGTTACATGAAAAGGATGCTTAAAGTGAGCTTTTAAAAAGGAGTCCCCTGGTGTTAACTTTGAAACTTTTCAAAAGACTTAGTCGCATCTAAAAAGACCTTAACGTAATGAATATAACCAGCCTCCAAGATGGCCCTGGGTGATCCCTGCCCTCTTGGTATTCATGCCCTTGTGTAGCCCCCTCCCATGTTGAAATGGGCTGATCTGTGTAACCAACAGGATGTTGTTGCAACAACCTTCTTAATAGGTCTTAACAGACACTGGGGCTTCCTCCCTGCTTTCTGCGTTTGCTTGCCTCAGAGGAAGCTACCATGTTGGAGAATACTCCAGCAGTCCCAGGGAATCCATGTGGGGAGAGTAACTTGCCAGGCATGTGAGTGAGTCATCTTGGAAGCCGATCCTCCAGACTGCATCAAGCCTTCAGTTGAGACTGCAGCCCCGGTTTCACGAACCAGAAATATCCAGCTAAGTTGCCCTTGGGTTCCTAACCCCAGAAACTACGTGAGACAATACATGTTTGTTTTAAGCCACTAAGGGGTAATTTGTTATGCAGTATACAACTGACACAAATAGTGTGACAATATTGGCTTAACTTGCCTTTATTTTAGAAATAAGACTTTTCTAGAATTCTAATTCAATGCTTTGTAGTCCATTATCCCAGCCACATACTTGAATGGAAAAAGAATTCTAGGATGGCCCCTCAGGGTCTACTCCTGCTAACTTCTTGCTGCTCCTGCAATTATGTCCCATGTTTTAGCCTTCTCAAACAGAGACAGCCATGCGGCCCACTGACTTTTTCTTTTCTTGCTTCAAACCTTCGATTGGTTTCTCTGTCTCACTCAGTAAGTCAAAGTTCCCACAGACCTTCTGTGATCTGGCCCCTGGATACCTTGAGCCTGTCTTCTACCACCTTCTGTCCCTTTGCTCTGCTCTGGCCACACCCCCTCCTTGCCTTTTTTAGGTTCCTAGAGGGCTGTTCCCCAGATACCCACAAGACACACTCACTTCTTTCACATCTTTGCTTAAGTGTTCTTCCTCAATCAGGTTTCTCCTAACTACTGCATATAAGAGACCACCATCCCCTCCCCACTCGAAGCCCCTTTATCAGGAAACACCCCTTTATCAGATATGCTACCAGTAACTCTCCACCTGATGTGTCTGTTCCCCTCCCCACCAATACATCAACTCTTTTGGAGCAAGGACTTTGTCATTTCCTAAGCATCTAATACCAGTACTGGGCATTAAAACACTTATCTGAGAAAATGAAGGTGATGGACGTTTTTTGAAAGGCCTCCTGTTTTGTTATCTGCAGGATGTGTGGACAGAGGGAGGGGGTTGGGGAATGGAGAGGAAAGAGAATCCCTACTTCGGTTTTAAGAACCAAATTAAACGTCTTCATTTGGAGACTGCTATTTAGAAACCAACCTGTTCAGAACAGCTCACCTGGAGGATAAAAGAGAAGACGTCGAGGATGATGATAACGATTTTGGTGTCTTGGATGGTGAGCAGATTTATCAGTGGCTCCAAGACTCCAGACTGGACAAGCTGGATCAGCTGGTCCACAGTGCCCCCTGTTGTGAAGTTAGCCACCGTCCAGACAGCCTCTTTCTGGACTTTAAATTCTCCCTGCAGAAAGAGAACATTTACATTCCTGACAGACCCTGAAGAACTCAAATACAGTGATGCCAACGTGGCTCAGTTTCTAGGTTAGCTGCTGACAGGCAGGACCATATGTGTAATTTACACGGACCCCCTGGGCGACTTGCCTTTAGTTCTTGAGAAGACAGCATCTTTCAGAAGCTGGGAGGGAGGAAGGGCAGGCTCATATATGGTCTTAGAGGGAGGCTCTGAGTTCAAACAGACTCATTTCCTTAAGTCAGTTTGTAGAAAAAAATAGAACTAACATAAGCCAATGCAGGGAATCAATCTTGCTTAGAAATCACGTGGGGAATTTTTAGGTTAGAGTGAACTACGCCTACAGTTCTAGTCTTTCTGCCCCAGTAAAACTTTGGACAAGACGTTCCAGAGTCACAAACCTGAGCACAGCCTGGAGGTGACAGAGAAAATCCCCTGAACTATCACTCAATGCATCCCTTACATTTATAAAACGCACTTCACCCAGAGAGATGGGAGTCATTTATCATGAATTCTTCTATCCCTGGGCGGGAGGAGTTATTCCCATCTTGTGGCTGGGGAAAACTGTGACCTCGGTTTAAAACAAAATGAAAAAATGAAAACAATTTACGGCTCCAAGCAAGTTATATTTCAAAAGGCACAATTCAAAGTAAAATTACTCCTCGATTCCTGACTAGTGTTTCTGATTAGAATGTGTACAGACTCACAAACACAGGATAGCAAGCCCGTCTTACAGACTGGGAGGTGCCACGACATGGGCTGTCCGCCTGGCCTAGTTTTTCCTACCTAGTGCACACCTGGGAACCCACCTGTCAACCTGAGAGAGAGCAGGACATCGCCAGTCCCTCCTCTGCCCCTAGTCTAAGGTAACCACTCCTGGCTTGTTTCCCAAGCAGATGGTTTAAACGTAGCTCATTCACCAAAAGATGATATAAAGAAATGCTACGCTAGTAGTCGTCCTGGGGAAAGGAAGTGGGACTCAGGAGGAAGAAGGAAGCTTTATTGCTTTTCTGGATTTGCTGTGTATATTACCACTTTAATCAATGTGAATTTTACACTGCAAAGGCCATCTTTCTTCAGGGTATAGTATCACCATAACCCGGTATGTTTTTCCCCCTAGATCAAAACCAAGCCTCCTCCTTCTTTTGCCCAAGAGTAGACAGCACACTATTTTAACACTAAAGATAAGCCAGTCTTTACCAGCTCCAGATTCTTCTGGATACTTGAACTGTGGCGTTCCCTTTTCATTGAACAAGGCTCGTTGAGTCCTCTAAATTTTTAATGAGATGTCCCAAATGAGACGCCCCTTCCTTTTTTCAGGGACAGTTAGGAAACCAGTGTTTCCTAGGTTTGTCATGATCTCCCTTCATTGGCTTCTCAGCCTGCATCTGAGTACCTGAAGGAGCTCAACATAGGGCCCACCTGAAAGTAGCCTTGTGTCATGGACACCACGTGTGCCACTTACGTTTTTTAGCAGAGCCACCAAGGGAGGCAGGGCACCGCAAGTAATCAGCTGCTGGATGTGCTGGCAGGGCCCCGCCGCCACGTTGCTCAGGGCCCAGGCTGCCTCCTTCTGAATGGAGGACCTGGGGTGCAACAGGAGCTGGGGCAGCACGCTCAGTACACCTGCGTCAATGGCCAGCTGGGTCTGGTGGTCCGTTCCTGTGACGATGTTCCCCACAGTGCGGAGAGAGGGGGTCTGGAAGAACAAGGCAAGAAGTGTAACCAAGTATTACAAATCCATCCCAGCGGAAGGTGAGCATTGCAAGCAGGCTTTGTGCCCTCCCAAACATCCATCATGCTATGCTGATGGCACTCTGGAAGCCTGAGATCAGTGATTATACCCCTGATCCTTATTAATTCAATACATCCATGGCTGTTTTCATAGTTTAAAGGTATTTGGGGGCAGAGCGAGTATAGCTCAGTGTGTGTGCTTAGCATGCACGAGGTCCCGGGTTCAATCCCCAGCACCTCCATTGAAAAAAAAAAAAGGTATTTGCCAGGCTCCCAGTAGTTCCAGCTCAAGTGGGATAGACGTCAAGGGATGTTTTTATGAGAAATGATGCTGGCCTTTTCCTATCCTTACACTGGGAAACTTGCTTAATTAATCATATGTATAATGTAATAATTTCTACTGAATTTGCATTTAGCATGAATATCAACTTCCTGTCGTATATTTAATTGGAGATAATGAAATTCCAGTGGCTTTTCTGGTGTATTCCCCAACCCCCTCTTAATCACTCCGTAGGTCCCCAGGATGGGTCTATGATTGGACTCAAGACAACTGTCCTAGGAGGGCTGACTGGATTTATTGTTTTGCTTCTCTGCACTGTAGTGGCAGCCCTAGCTCAGCTCATCAACAGTTCTAGAGTTTTCCTAGCCTATCATGCTACGTATCTGCTACCCAGGTGAGAGGTGGAGGTAGTTCCATAGGCCAATCACAGCCTTGTCAGGGCTGTTCCAAGTGGGCTCCAGACCCCCCAGGACAAGTGATTTCTGCAAGATGTTGTCTTCACACCCTCCACGCCCCCAACAACACCCCCACACTAACCTTGACTTCTGAGGAAAACTATGCTAATCTCAGTACAGAAGATCACTAAGGCTGCATAATATACAGGACTAGACATAGAAATTTAAAGGGATACCCACATTTCAAACTACATTTTCAAGAATTATGTAAGTGATCTATGTCTCAGAGTAAATTATTTGACCTTGATTTTACTGACTTTCCACCTATATCTGAAGTAATCTAAGAGAACAAAGCGGTGAGAGGATACGGAGAAATTTTCCTTTATACTTGAGTAAGAAATTCAAATGTTTACAAGCTTCACCTTAACACACAAACACCCCAACTTGTTAATACCTACATGCAAAGACCAGTAGAAGGAAAGGCCACAAAAGAATAGTTCATTGGGAGGAAGGATTATAAGCAATTTTAATTGGTGCTTTTCTATATTTTCTAGTTCTCAGATCAAGAAAAAGTAAGTTACTTAATACCCACTAGGATTTTGGGTCAAAATAGATTCAGATCTTTGGCTAGAGAGTAACAGAGATCAGGGAAGTTCAGGTGACAAGCTTGGTTCAAGGACAAGGAGGAACACCAACTGTGGAAGAGCTGGGTCGGGGGCAGAACAAAACCTGCTCGAGTGAAAATGACCCCCAGACTCTAATCTGAAGACCCACACAGAGAGTGATGAGACCTAGGAAACATACCAGGACATTGAGTTCCGAGCTGGCCATGAGCTCCACCAGCCTGGGCAGGACGCCAGTGTCAACCACTTGGCCGATGCGCTCATCGCAGCCTTCAGTGAGGTAAGACAGAGCCCAGCAGGTGTCCGAGAGAACCTCACTGTCTTGGTGCTGCAGGAGGTGGAAGAGGGCAGGCAACATTTGCTTCACTGAGTTATCGCAAGGGTACGGGTTCTTGTTCCTGCACAGGTTGGACAGGGTCCACGCGATGTTCCGCAGAAATGTGACCTGTAACAGGGAGACTGCTTCCAGCACTGGGTGCAAAGAAGGACAAGTACAGATGGCCATGTGTCCTTGCCATCTTTGATCAATGTTATTAACCTGCATGAACCAAACCGTGTCAGCTTCAAACAGGAATTTGTTCTAGGTAATGAATCTACTAGGGACACAGAGAATGAGCTTTGTTTCATATTCAAAAGTCAGGTGGAGGTTTCCTTAGATTCTTCAAAATATCCTTCCCCATTGGAGTCAGTTGATGACCTAAGTTCATTTTTCATTGACAAAACTAAGATCAAGCAGGAGTTACTTGGTCTCCCCACCTGCCTATCATTGTACCACATTTCTCATCTTCTATTTGACAACCAGTCTTCCTATCCTGCATCTGAATCCCATGACGTTTTGCCTCTCAAGATTCTGTCCCCAGGATCACCGCTCTCCCCTGGATCACTCCCACCAGTATAGAAACACACTCTGCGACCTTCGACCCCTATCCTTGGCACCCCTCCAGCCATTACATCCCCCATTTCCCAACTTTGGGAACTTGTTACCTCACTAGGCAACCCCTTTTAAAGACACTCACTGGTACATTTGATGAAGCCAGGGCCAGCAGATATGGGATGGCATTGCTGGAGATAACATTGTCTCTGAATTCTGGGCCATCACCTACAAATAGATAAGAACATGACACTCAGAGAGGGAACAAAGAGAATCCTGGGGTGGATGACTAATCCTTTCAAAGTCTGTGTGAAGGGTGAGAGGCCAGAACTCCTTTCTGGGTTGGTAAGTAGACAGCAGTGCCATGAACTTGATCCTGCGTCTCCAACGTGTTGGTTGAATAGATGGCCTGACTTGAAAAGCAGGTACCACGCAGCAGGAATTGCTATAAACAGAGTCTCTGCAGACCTAAAGGAGCCAGTCAGCTGGGCACCACTTTAAACGGTGGCGCCATTTCACAGCATGGTTCTCAGGAGACAAAGGCCTCTGCAGACCAGACTAACTTCCCAGAAGACTAGCACGGAGCAGGAACTTCTGAATGCAACTCAGAACAAAGTCCAGGAGATGGATAGATGCTGGCCATCAGCTGTCTGCTGCTTTGGCTGGAACACCCACTTTAGACCCTGAAAGTCTCGGCTTGTAATTGCTCACGCATCCCGCATCCGGCAAGGTGTAAGTGAAACTACACCACCCAGTGTGGCCTGTTCCTTGCTGTACCAAGCAAAGCGAAAGGCGAAATCTCTGCAATAGGTGCTTTATTTCTGCAAGCATTTAAAAAGCAGGCTTGTTTTATATTCTGGTTTGCTAATCCCATTATCGGAAGTCCTCGGAGGTCTCATCATACTGTTTGTTTCTGCTGACTCAGTCATGGTGGATTGTTGGTTCTCTGCACTTGAAATTGCTAATATTTGGCTGCTCTTAGTTTGCCAAAACCCCAAGGGGCCCAGCTGAGTCCCCCAAAGAGCATTGCATTTATATTCAGCCAGGGATCCTGGAGCTTCCAGCCCTGCAGCATTAACCCCCCAGTTTCCACTTTCCTGGACCACACGGGGAATAAAGCAAGTCCCAAATCCATGAGGCCAATCTTAGGTTTGTATTTTCAGGGGAGGCGTCTATCCTAAAGAAACTTTTTTTTTTAATGTTCCTTTGGCAAATATCACTGGAGGTAGAATTCTTTTAGGGTCCTAGGTCATGCAAGGGTCTGTCATAAAATCCCCACCTTGCATGAACCAAAGACTTGTCTTTTGTTCCTGAAGCCACTAAGACCTGAGACTGCAGGACCTTGGTCCTGGCAGGTGTCACCAGGTAGCCTGCAGCTTTAGAACAGACCACATCGTCTGGTTTCAGCTTCCATTTTTAGCCTTTGAACTTGACTGAATTTTTGAAAATCCCTTTCTACTTTTCCCAGCATTTCTAGGTATTTATTTTTATTTTATTTTATTTTTTTAATGGAGGTAATAAGGATTGAACCCAGGACCTCATGCACGCTAAGCACACACTCTACCACCGACCTAAAGCCCTACCCTCATTTCTAGGAGTTTACACTTAGAGTGCCTAATCTGCAATACTACCCAGAGACCTCCCGTCGCACCACGCACCAGGCCCGCTGTTTCCTTGTCCCGAGGGGAGAGCCTCACCTGCTATGTTACCAAGGGCCCACACTGCCTGTTCACACACAGTCATATGAGGGGAAGACAGGAGCTCAACCAAGGGCTGGACGGCCCCTCCTTCCACAACCGCGCGAGTCAGCTCTGAGGTCCCTGAAGCGATGTTGGTGAGAGCCCAGGCTGCTTCGAACTGCAAGCAGGGGTGCGGCGATGACTTCAGGAACTCCACTAGCCTGGGAATGAGCCCGGCTTCAACCATCAGCCTCAGAGGAGGGTTCTTTTCCTGGGACAGCATCTTCCTTTGCAGTGCAAGAGTGAAAAACAAACACGTCCGGTCAGGCGGGTATGAAAAACCTCCTTTACGGATGCTTTTGGCCTTCCTAAGTATCAAAACAAAGGGCTGGGCCAGAGCTACTTAATATCCTGACGTTTAGCCTCTAGCACTGTGCAGTGATGGAGCAATGTTCTCCCCTTTAGTTATCTATGATCCACGATGTCTGTAGAGGCCAATTTAAATTAAGCAATTCATCTCTGACAACACTTGCATATCTTAAGCTGTTCTCAAGGACAGCGCAGAGGAGCAATTTGGTCTCACTTTTGGATGAACTAGCCTTTCTTACCTTGTGTGGGCATTTTGCCACTGCCAAGAAACCAAACAGGCCACTGGAACCCATTTCTAGCTATGAATCTGTCAACAAGAGGTCTGTTTGGTGATACCTGGCTGCCTGAGTGGCCTGGAAACACAGTTCTGGATCTGAGGCATTCACACCATTGATTATTTCTTGCAGGGTGAGGCTGACCTGCAAGGAGAGACACATCCAAGTCAGAGTCTCTGCCAAGGGAACCCCAGAGGCCATCCCGTGCAGCCATCTGTCTGATGAGGAGAAGCCGGCTTGAACAGTATGTACCCATCTGCATGCTGGTCTGTATCAGGGGAGGGAAGAGCATCTGGTGGTCTCATAGGGCTCGGTTTTGTGGGTCATTCCCCGTGCTCTGGGGGAGGGGTAATTCCCATCATTACTGGGATCCCCAGCGCCTTTATAATTCCATGCAGTAAGAACATGCCAGCGAATGTCAGCAAAAATGGCAGAGGAAGGACCTCAAAATTCTCTCCCCCATAAAACCAACAAGAAAACTGAAAAATAATCAGAATCAACTTTTTTAGAACTCTGGAAACTGACCAAAGGCTTGCAACAATTTTTTTTATCTGAGTCAAAAAGGGTATATTCATGAAAAATGTCTACATCTCAGTAAGAACAGCGAGGATTGTGGGGTTCTGCCTTGTCTTATTCCCACCCCTCCTCCCCTAGCTCCATGGCAGCCTTGAAAACCAACAGCCCAGCAGCTGCTGGAGGAGGACGAACAGGTTAGTTCTCCTTTAAAGCCTCATCCTCGGAGAATTATTATTTGACCCATCTGGTGGTTTCCTGGGAGATCTCATTTGTAAGAGTCTATTTTGTTTGAGTCAGAGCTCACACAATGCAAAAAGTCTTTTCCCTGAAGGTATTTGTTAAAAACAATTAGAGGAAGTTGTTCAACTTCACAGCTGCTTAGGTTTGGGGGTGTGTGTTAGATAACAGGTGGGGGCACAATAGACTGACCAAAAAAGACAAAACTGGGAATAACATGTTCATCAGGACTTTGAAAGCTCCAACATACTCCTGAAAATCTAGAAGTTCATATGCATGTACAGGGCTGTACACATGCTCACAGGAAACTGAGAAGGCTCTGAGGTCTCACCTCTGGCTGACTCTGAGGCTCTGTACAAGTGAAGATGAAGGTCTAGGACAGGACTGTCAACCGTCTGAGTGTTGAAGGCATGCCCCAGCATACACACAGAACCCCTTGGCAATGAGTGGGTGAATTTTTGCTTCCAAATGTTTAAGGGAATCTCTGTCCAATCATTAGCTGACCACTAAGCTAACTGAGCAGAGAAGTCAGTGACCATACATGACAAAGAATACAGATTTCACAAAAATCAATTCAGAAGTCACTGAACAAACAATGAACAACAACAAACCCTGGGCAAGGGGTGGGGGGATCCGATATCTAAAGCTGCTACATTATTTTAAATGACTAGTTGTCAAAGAAATTACAAGACATGCAAAGTATGGCATATACACAAGAAGAAAAAAAAAAGGCAATCAATAGCAACTGTCTCTGGGGAACCAGACGTTGGATTTACTAAACAAAGACTTTATGTTCCAAGAACTAAGGCAAACTATGTCTAAGAACTAAAGGAAAGTCTACGAATGATGTCTCACCAGAGCCAACTAGAAATTTTGGAATTGGAAAATACAGTAACAAAATGAAAAATTCATTCAAGTGGCTCAAGAGCATTTCTGAGTACACAGAATAAACCCAATCAGTGAACCTGAAGACAGGTCAGTTGAGATTATCCAGCCTGAAGAAGATAAAGAATTGTTTCTTGGCCTTTTAGCTAAGATCAAACATAGTATCTGTTCTTACCAGCTTAATATCTGATACAGCCTCTCTCCGAGGACAATAAATTAAATGGATTTTTGGAACTAGGAGATGGAATAGGAGCTTGCTCCATCCACTCCATGCATTGACCTGGGATTGCAGTACGCCCAGGAATAGTGCACCCCCTTCAGGGGAACAAAGATTGTTTTAAAAAAAAAAGGGAAAAAGATGAAGACGAAAATGAACAGATCCTTATATATCAAGCATATCAACGTATGCATAATAGGATGGAAAGGAGAGAAAGGGGCAGAAAGTATATTTGAAGAAATGATTTCCAAAAACACCCCAAATATGATGAAGAAGTTCATCTACACATCTGAGAAGCTTAATGAACTCCAAATAGGACAAAATCCAACTGCAATGGAGTAAAATTAAAAACCAACATTAGAAGAAAATTTGGGAAGTACACAGATTTGTGAAAATTAAACAACTCCTAAACCAACAGGTCAAAAGGAGAAAATCAAAAGGGAAATTAGAAAATACTTTGAGATGAATGCAACAAACATATAATATACCAAAGCTGAGGACAATATACCGAAACTGAGGAGGTGCAGCTAAAGCAGAGCTTCAAGGGAAATATATAGTCATAAATGCATGTATTTAAAGAGATCTCAAATCCATAATTTAACTTCACAATTAAAAATAAAGAAATAAAAGAGAAAATTAAACCCAAAACAATTAGAAGGAAGGAAATATTAAATACTAGAGTGGAAATAAATGAAACAGAATGGAAAAATTCAGAAGAAAAAAAATCAATGAGACAAGTTGACTCAAAAGAGCAACATAAATGACAAATCTTTAGCTAGACTGATGAAGGGAAAAATAGAGAAAAGTCAAGTTATTAAAACCAAGAATAAAACTGGGGACATTACTACTGAATTTACAGAACTAATAAGATTAGAGACTATATGAACAAAGTATGCCAACAAATTAGATAACCTAGATGAATGGGACAAATTCCAGGAAACATAAACTACCAAAAGTGACTCGATAAGAAACAGAAAATCTAAATAGACCTGTAATAAGAAACTGAAATATTAATTTTTAATGAAAATTTCCACAAAGAGAAGCCCAGGCACAGCAGGTTTCACTGGTGAATTTTCACAAACATTTAAACAAAAAATAACATTTAAAAAATAATAATAAAAATAAATCCCTCACAAATTCTTCCCCAAAAAAGAAGAGAGAGGAACTTTCTAATAGTAATTAATTCTATGAGTCTAGTATTACCCCAATATCAAACCAGACAAAGATACCACAAGAGGAAGTACAGAACAGTATTGGATTAAAATGAATATGGATTAAAATGCTAAACCAATTCTAAAAGAACAAAAGGCATCAACCCATGAACAGAATTATACATCACAACCAATTGTGATTTAACCCAGGAATTCAAGGGTGATTCAATCTGTGAAAATCAATGACGTATACCATATTAATAGAATAGACGGGGGTGGGGGGACATGATCATCTCCACAAATGCAGGGAAAGCGTTTGACAAGATCTAGCACCCTTCCATGATTAAAACAATATTCAACACAAACTAGGAATAAAAGGGAACTTCCTCAACCTAACAAAGGCATCTAAAAAAAACCCACAGCTAGTGTCATACTTAATGATAAATGACTGAAAATGTCTCCCCTAAGGTCAGAAACAAGATAGGATGTCCACTCTTGTCACTTTCATTCAGCACAGTACTACTGGAAGCTCAAGACAGGCTAATTAGGCAAGAAGAAGGAATAAAAAGGCATCCAGATTAGAAAAAAAAAAAAGTAAAACTATCCCTATGTACAGTTAACATACTCTTGGACAGAGAAAATCTATATCCAATCTACACACACAAACACAATTTGGAGGTAATAAACGAGGTTCACAGGAGTAATGTACAAAAGTCCATTGTATTTCTATATACTACCAATGAACAATCTAAAATTGAAATTAAGAAAATAATTTTATCTTAATTAAGAAAATAATTTTTATTTTATAAAAATTTGTATTTTTATTCAATAGCATAAAAAAGAATAAAATACTTAGGAATGACTTTAACAGAAGAAACACAATACTTATATGCTGAGAACTATTTTAAAAAATTACAGAAGACCTAAACAAATTGAAAAAATTCCCTGTTCATAAATTCAAAGACTTAACATTGTAAGATGACAATACTCCACAAACTGGCCTAGAGTCAAAGCACCCGCCATCAAAATCTGAGCTCCATTTACTGAAAAAATTGACAAGCCAATTTTAAAATCCATATGGAAAGACAGGGAATCCCAAAGAGCCAAAATAATCTTGGGGGGGAGGGACAAAATTGGAGAACCCACACTCCCCAATTTCAAAACCTATAGTAATCGAATCTGTTCTGCTGGCATAAGGACAGACATATCAATGGTAGCCCATTCAGAGTCCACAAATAAACGCTCACATTTACGGTCAGCTGAAGTTTGACAAGGATGTTAAGACCATTCATTGGGGAAAGAATAGTGTTTACAGCAATGGAACAACTGGATATCCACATGCAAAACAATGAAGTTGGCCCCTTGCACCATTTACAAAAATTAACTCAAAATGGATCCAAAAACCTAAACGTAAGAGCTAAAACTGTAAAATTCTCAGAAGAAAACATAGGCATAAATCTTTTTGACCTTGGATTAGGCAATGGATTTTTCAGATGTCACCTAAAGCACAAGGAAACCAAAGAAAAAAGTAGATAAACTGGACTGTTTCAAAATTCAAACATTTAAACATTTGCGTTTCAAAGATTCTATCATGAAAGTAAAAAGACAACCCATAGAACGGGAGAAAATATTTGCAAATCATGTATCTGGTAAGGGTCTAGTATGCAGAATATATAAAGAACTCTCACAACTCAGTAAAAAGAGAAATTACTTGATTTTAAAAGTCGGCAAAGGAGTTGAATAGACATGTCTCCACAGGGGAGATATACAGCAGCCACTAAGCACATTAAAAAATGCTCTTCATCATTTAGCTTTAGGAAAACATGTCATTTACAACAATACAACCCTTTACATCCTCTAGATGGCTCAAGTCCAGAAATGGACGATAAGAGGTACTGGCAAATAAAATAATTTAAAAAATTTTTAAATTAAAAAAGGGAAATGTTGGGGGTATAGCTCAGTGGTACAGTGTGTGCTTAGTATGCACAAAGTCCTGGGTTCAATCCCCAGTACCTCCACTAACAAGATAAAAATTAAAAAAAAAAAGAAGTGTTGGTAAGAATGTTAGCATGTACAACAGTACAGCTGCTTGAGAGATAAGTTTGGTAGCTATTTGTTTCCTATCGCTACTGTAAAAATTACCACAAATTTAGTGGCTTAAAACAGACTTATAGTCTTACGGTTCTAGAAGTCAGAAGTTCATGATCAGTTTCACTGGACTCAAGTCAAAATGTTGGCAGAGCTGTTTCTTCCTGGAGGCTCTGAAGGGAAAGTCCTTTCTTCTTGCCTTTTTCAGCTTCTGGTGGGGCTGCCTGTGTTCCTTGGTCTGTGACACCTCCCTCCCCCTTCCCTCCTCCTTCAAAGCACAGCACGTTCATCTCTTCTTCTGCTCTGCCTTGTCCTTCATCCATCTTATAAGGACCAATGTGATTACATCTGGCCCATCCAGAGAGTCCAGACCCTTCATCTAACCACATTTACAAAGTCCCTTTTGTCATATAAGGTAACATTCACAGGTTCCGGGGTGAGGACACGGAGATATTTAGGGGGGCCATTATTCAGCTCACCACAAGCAGTTCCTCAAAAGAGTTAAGCCCAGAATTATCTTATGACCCAGCAATTCTACTCTGAGGTATACTCCTGACAATTGAAAATATGTCCAGACAAATGTTCATAGCGGCATTATTCATGATAGCTAAGAAGTGGAAACAGTGAATGGATAAACAAAGTGTGGTCTATCTATACAATGAAATATTATTCACCTACAAAACGAATGAAGTACTGACACATGCTACAACATGGGTGAACCTTGAAAACGTTACATTAAGTGAGAGAAGCCAGACACAAAAAGCTACGTATTATGATTCCATTTACACAAAATACCCAGAATAGGTAAATCCACAGAGACAAAGGAGATTTGTGGTCACCAGAGGGTAAGGGGGAAGGAGGAGTGGGTAGGGGATTTCTACTGAGGTTATGAATATATTCTGAAATTAGCTAGTGGTGATGGTCACGCAACTTTGTGAACACATGAGAAACCACTGATAAAAGGGTGAATTCTGGGGTACTTGAATGTTTAAAAAGGAACATGCTAACAAGAATAAAAAAGTAAACTCTTCTCCTAGTTTTGTTTCAGATTTTCATCTTCCTTGGGTGGTGAAATCCTCAGGACTCCTATAGACAATCAAAACTAAGTAGAGAGAGGGGGTCAGAGTTCAATGGCAATCCAGAGGATGACCCTAGCCATTCTATTTGAGGCTCAGTAATGCATCATCGAGTCTGCTTACCCAAACTGAACCAGAATCTGCCCTTCAAGAGCCCTACTTCTAGTCCTAATGCTCATGGATAGTTCAGGTGGGACACAGACATAACAGATCATAAAAAGCATGTAGATACAATGCTATTGGAGTTCTAAGAAGGAACACCTCCTGGTCAGGGAATTTTGGAAAGGATCCACCAAAACAGTACTGGCCTGGAAGTCAACCCAGGATTTGCCTTGAGTGAGGGTGGGGTGGATGGAGAGTGGAAGACATGACAGCATTCAAGTCCTAGGCAACACTTGACGTGTTGAGTGACTAGATGCCCCTACTGAGAGAGAAACTTCATGACCCCTCCATTTCCTGTTGCTGGTTGAATAGCAGCAAGAGAATTTTCAATTAGAAGCAGCACCTTCTCCACCCCATTAGAATACAGACCCCATACTCACAGCCACGAGGTAACAACACTGCTTTCTGACGTCACCAGGTTAGCTCTAATCACGCTCTCTCTACAGCTGTCCTTCAAGAGCCTCCATTAGAGCTTGCAGGTTCTGAATCAAACATTTTCAAGGCAGAGAAACTTACAAAGGATGTGTTTTATACATGACTGCTCGACATGCCACGTCCCCGACGTACCCCTTTGTTCTGATGTTCAGAAGGGTCAGGGGAGACACTCGTGATGTTCCTCCTTTTCAAGGCCTGCTCATCCTTCTTGGCCTTTCGGAGCTCCAGGCTGACTGCTATCCTCTGCTGCCGCCTCACCTAGTGAGGAAAACAAAGAATGGGAGCCCTTAGGGCTGGGAAGTCAGGTTGTCGCACGTTTAGCCTTTGGAACACACTTCAAAGCACCTGATTTCGCTTTTGCAGATGCCACAGGCCGGAAGACTTCAGATCACACAGCTAGTAAATAGCTCGGTTCACCTCCTCTGCTTCCTCCTCCTCCAACACCACCTCTAGAAAAACAGTCCCTCTTCCTCTCAAAGTGAAGGAAGAGCATGTACACCCTTGGCAGGTTAGGATTCTCAGCTGTAGAGACGCCTGAGCCAAGCATCCCATTGCTCTGAATCTGAGCACATCTTCATGGGTGGTTAGTTCCGGAAGACGAGGCCTGTGCTCTCCTGCTCTGGGCACGCAGGTGGGGCTGGCAACTAGGAAGGAAGCCCCCGTGCCCCAGGTGTTCTTGACTGTTTTCACTATTGGGCATCAGCCTATAGGTCATTCAAGCTTCTATCCAGTCCCAAGACTTTTACTTGGACACCAGACTAAGGAAGATTGAAATTTTAAAAACAAACCAACCACCCTTTTCTTCTTATGTCAGGCAAAATTCAGACTTTATCATATTGAGAATCCTGGGGAAATGATCTGATCTTTATGGATAGACGAGTTTGGGGTCAAAAACTTTTCAAGATACATAGATGTAGGACACAGACCTAGAGCCAGAAAACGTGGAGGCCAAAGGAGGAGAGAATTCACGCATAGCATAGGCTCCCTGGTCCAGGCCCTGGTGCTCATTCCAGCAGTGAGAGGAGCCTGGAATTTTCCATTCTGAGTCCTATTTCTCTGCAAGGCATGCTTGTTGTTACCCGTACTGTCGACATCTTTGCTCTTTGGTAAGCCTCTTCAACACTTGGAGCTTCAGGTACGCATCTATATATGAGGCACTGCTATTATCCAGTCCCTAAGAGGTAGGTATCAGACCTGTTTTATGGATGAAGAAACTGAAGACCTGAAGTTAAAAAGTTTTAAGATCACATGGAGACCTTGATTTGAGTCTACAGTTGTCTGACTGTCTAGGTCCATGAGTTTCAACCCTCCCCACCGTCAATATATTATTATGAGATCTTCAAAACATATAGAAAAGTTGCAAGAATTGTTCAGTGAATATCTGTGCACTTACCCGCAATGAACATTCTGCTAGACTTGCTTTGTCACCCCCCCACTCTCCCCTCTCTTTTTTTAAGTGCATTTCAACCATGTGCTTTCTATTGCACTGGTCCTTGACAGAGTGAAGAAGCTGCTTCATACTCACAGATGCATCTTTGCCGCGATACTTGAATTTTCTCAGCCTCTCTTCTGGCGCTTCTAAAGTCGGCATATTGACTGGAAGCAGGAAACCACCTGGAGGCAGGGCAGTTCCAAAGAGATTTTTCAGAGCCCTGTGTGTGGTTAGTATGTTAAAGTCATCCTGGCTCCAAGCCCTTAAAGGGCCTACAGTGAAACGGAGACCAGACTCAGGAAGCCGGCTTCCATAGGCATCACCACACCAGCTCGTGGGAGCTCAGAGGGGACGAGCCCCAGGCTGCAGAGTAAGGGAAACCTTTTAGAGGCAGTTTGGCTTCGACTGGGTTTTTGATGGCTAGGGAGGCTGGAAGGGGTGCATAGAACCCTTCCGCGTAGCTGTGACCAAGGAGTTCTACACAGAACATAGGTACGGATGGCAAGGAGCCCAATCAGACTATGATAGGAAGATGGCTTCTCCTCCCACACCCACCCCACCAGCACATTTGTTCAGGACTTTCTCAAGCCATGACCCACTCTAATTCTTTGGTAGACCTCCTCCACCCCAGATCAGGCCACCATCATCTTTCACCCCCATCTGTCAACTGCCTCCCAAATCTTCTCCCTGTTGCTTCCATCACCTTATTCCCATTTGTTCTCTACACAGAAGCCATGTGATCTTTTAAAAAAAAGACTTGGTCCACATCATTCCTCCCACTTTAAAACCCTCTACTGTCTGCCCATTGATTTTAGAAGAAAACTCAAATTCACTATGGCCTCCACCCTACATGAGCTGCTCTTAGCCCACTTTCTCTAATAACTCTTTCCTAAGGATCTTCCCAGTCAGTCTGCTTTATCTTCTCCACAGCTTTTACCACCATCCAATATTTTCTTGTTTGTGCATCTTCCTCCCCCCACTCCCAATGACAGCAGGACCACGTGTGCCTTAGGTACGATTCC